TTTGTTACTTAGCTACCATGCTGAGCATACCTATGTATCCACCCATTATGGCCACCACCATTCTGATTCTGACAGGCCTTCATGTTTTATTTGATAACCACACTTGTGCCATCCTAGGTTCTTCAAATCAAGTATCAACCCAAATTCTCTATCTCCTCTCTACTTCTTCAAACCCCCATGTCACTTCACTTGAACAGAATTTTACTGACTGTTTATCATTTTTTCTTTTTTGTGTTGCCATCACCATTGATGTAACCTGGAAGTTCTAGAATCAACTTTAGTTGTCTATTCTTCAGTCCTCACACTTAAATTCCATCATTTTACCATGGCTTCTATTTAATACATCATACAACCTTGGGCCTTCTTTCTGAAATACAGATTTTTATTACAACTTTTTCTTAAAAAATTGTTTAGTAACTTGGCATTATCATAGGCTTATTGAGCAAGGGAAGATTATCCAGTGAAGCAGAACCCCAAGGGTGTGTGTATATTGAGACAGCAGTTAATTTAACGAAATTGTTTTCTGATCTCTGAACTGCACAAGACAAAGATTCTGCATTACGGTCAGGTGGGCAGAAGACCCAGGCAGTAGCTGCAGTTTGAGTCTCGGGGCAGTTTCCTCTTCCTTCAAGAAAGTCGATCAGTATTTCTACTGAAGCCTTTAACTTGGTAAGGCTCATTCACTTTGGGAATGTAAGGGACTCTAAGTTTAGTGATCTACACATTAATCTTACCCTCAAGATGCCTTCAAGTGATTTATTCAGAAACTATTTTAATATTATGGTTTATCCACATTGACATATAACACTAACCATCACACCTATTCATGATGTGTAAGATGGTGTAGAGTTTGCCCTTTGCTCCATTCGCACTTTATCCTTCCTTCATGTTCTCCAGACACAAATGTGCATGCATCAGTGTGGAGGACTTAAGAACGTTGATCACAAAGCAGAAAATACCTACATAAGGTACAAATTTAAATCTGTGTGTGGCAAAAATGTTTTCATTCTATACCCTTTTCATGGTGTTTCCTCTAGCATACAATGCCTAACACATATTGTATATGTAGGATTCCTGGCTAAATGTTTCTGTAGAATGGCGGGGATGATTCCAGCATCTGCTTTTCTCTCCTTATTATCCTGAGGTTTCATGTTCCCTTTTTTATTCTCTCCTCCACTTTTAAATCTTTTTCTTATGCTCTTTAATACATTTACCTGCCATCCTGCGTGATATTCTGTGACTGTTATTACTTCTATGTTCCAAAGGGACAAGTGAAATGTATGACATCTCTCTCAAATGAGAGGTTTAATTATATATATGAGAGATGTGAGATTTTACATCTGTGATTATTTTTTGAAGATTTATTTATTTGAAAGGCATAGTTATAGAGAGGGAGACAGAGAGGAAGGGAGGAAGAGAGACAGATCTTTCGTCTGCTGTTTCACTTCGCAGATGGCCTCAAAGTTGGGCCAGATGGAAGGCAGGAGCTAAGAGCTTCTTCCAGGCCTCACTTGTTGGTGCAAGGGCCCAAGCACTTGGACCATTTTTATCTGTTTTTCTACTAGACATGGTAGTAGGGGACTAAAATGGAAGTGGAGCAGCTGGGACTTGAACTGGCCACCCTATAGATGCTGATGTCGCAAACAGTGGCTTTGCCTGCTATGTTACATGGTTGATCTCTATTTCCAGTTGTTAAAAGTATATTCAGATAAGTTTAGGATTATGTTTAGTACTGAGTGTTATTAAGGCTAAGATTTTGTTCCCACTAAGTGGAGGTTTTAATATTTGATGACTATCACCAGCCCTCTGATAAGTAGAAGGAAGGCAAAAGCTGTTTCCTGAGGAGTGCACCCCGTATTTAGGTGCAGCAAAGGTTTACATTCCACTTCGGGAATGCCATGGTCTGGAAGTGTATACACCAATGTGAACTGACTGTTCACCTTAATGAGAGAGATTTTATAAAACTGTGTCACATAATGCAATGTAATTAATAAAAAAATTGTTTTAAAATCTTATTTTAAAAAATCTTGAGAAATTTTAGGCCTGTAAACAGTTTGTGCAACCATTGAGAATGCTTAGTTTAACTATGCTTACAAATCCAAAATAGGAAATCTCAGTTCTATCCTTAAAGCTTTCTCCTCCTACCCTCCCAGACAACTGCTAGCTGTATTTTTCTTCCTGTAGGGTTTGACTGACTATGTGAATGTACTTTAGTGGCTGGCACTGTGGCATAGCAAGTTAAGTCTCTGCCTGTGATTTTGATATCCTGCATTGGAGCTAATTTGTGTCTTAGATGCTTCACTTCTAATCCATCTTCTTGTTCATGTGCCTGGGAAAGCATGGAAGTTGACTCACATGTTTGGGCCCGTGAACCCACGTGGAGAGACAAAAGAGGCCCTACGCTTCTGGCTTTGGCTTGACATGGCACCAGGCCATTGTGTTCATTTATGAATGTGAGCCAGGTGATGCAAGATTCCTCCTCCTGTCTCTTCTATCTGTGTAACTCTGCCTTTCAAATGATTACTTTTATAAAGAGAATGTATTCTATCATTAGTTCTAAATTTTTCTCAAAAAACATAGGTTATCAGGGATTTTTTTTTTTTTTTGGTGAAATCTGTTATTATTGGAAGGGTAGATCAGATTTGTAGAGAAAAGGAGAAGCAGAGAGAGAAAGATCTTCCATCCACTGGCTCGATCCCCATATGGCTGCAATGGCCAGAGCTGAACTGATCCAAAGGTAAGACTTCTTCCTGATCCATCATGTGGATGCAGGGTCCCAAAGCTTTGGACCACCCTCTACTGCTTTCTTAGGCTACAAGCAGGGAGATGGATGGGAAGTAGAGCAGTTGGGACATGAACCAATGCAGGTTATCTTATTTTAAGAACAGAGATTGTAAATCTGAGTGACTTGGGCCAAGTGTGAGATTTTCCTCTCTGGTAATACTCATAGCATAATGTGCTATATAAACTCTTGGTCGTATTTACATATACTATGTACAAAAGGCCACCTAGGAACTTTAATACTGTAAATTATAATTCATTTGTATCATTTATAAGTGTTCATAAGTGCTCTGTGAGGAAGCAATGTGAATGCTAGTGGAAAATTCTTTGAATTTAGATAGATAAATGATAGAAATGCTGATCTTAATATTCTCAGCACAACAGTATAAATATTGGCTCCCACACCCTGGATTATCTTGAAAGCAGCATGAATGTCAGTTTTGTTTATTATCACTGCTGACTTTTTTTATAACAGCTATTTTCTGGCACCCATATGTCTGTCAAAAGTGAAAACATGAAAGGCAGAAAGGACTGCATGTTAGGATGTATTTCTTGGGATTGGTTGAAAATTATTCCTTATATAAAGAGCAAAATGTACCTCCATCAGTTCTTACTGTTTATTTGCATATGATCCGCTTTGCTCATTAATGTTACTCTTGTGAAACCATATAGGAATTTAGTTCACTGTTACTGCTTCATTTTCCCATTACTTGTTTGCCTAGAGTATCCTAAAACTGCTGAATCAATTTTAATATTAGTTTATTTAAATGTAATTAATCTTAATCATAACACATTTTCATAATCTTCATAAAATGTCGGAAGTAGATGAAACTGTTGAAGTGAAATTGTGTGTGTGGCTTAAAAGGGTGCACACAGCAGTCGGTTAAACGAACCTGGATGAGTGGTCCACTTTGGCTGCTAGGTTAGTGATGAGCAAACAGAGTAGCAGCAGCAATAGCACGTGCACACCAGCTTTTCTGTGGATGTCATTCACAGAGTACAAAAGCTTTCACATTTATATAATTGCGTCAAGTTCTGAAATGCTCAGGGTTGAGAATTTCTTTTGTATACAAAAAATAAAAAGGAATCGACAAAAGAGCGTGTCTCACCAAATCGTTAACAGAATACTGGATGTGGCAGACTTGAGCAATATCAGCTGGGCTTTCCAAGGAGACAGTAGCAGGTGCTCACACTTGGAACACGACTTCTGCCTGCAAATAAGCAATTAAACTTCAGTGCCCAGGAAGTCGAGTATGAGCACCCACTTCCCTCTTGTCTGTCTCCAACAACACAGCCTGAAGAGAGGGTGTGTAATGTTGCCTCAAGTGGATGGTAACCATCTCTACTTGATATCAATTTTTTCAGCATCCATCTGCTGTCAAAACTCCATTTAGTATTTCTTATTGAAAAAAACTTAAGATTTACAGTTTTTAAATCTTGAAATTATCTAAATATTTGTCCAGACAACAAGTTGAGTGGATATCTAAATTAATAGAAACTTCTACAGGGAGTCAATATGGGATTTTTTTTTTTTAGTTATTCGAAACATAGGGAGGTAGATAATGTATGAAGAAACAAGGATTAAACCCTTACCATGTAACAGCTTTGATTTGAATCTACAAGGAAAGAAGGAAGCATAAGAAAGTACTGATTGCCAGCAGGAGGTTAACATTTTGTTGCTTTGTATTTTATATGCTCAGGCATTTCTGTGTGTTCAAAGCACAAAGGTTTGGTGGCTGTGAGAAGAAAGAAGACAGAGCACTGAGAGGGGATTTCCAGAGGAGGGAGGCACGTGGATTGGGAAGATAAGATTGTGTACAGGATGCTTAATTGGAACATTCCATTATACAGACAGCTGGTGCCTTGTTACTTTAAAAGAAAGCATGTTTCTCTTAAGAAGTAATTTGGTGATGCATATTTTGATTTTCTTTTGCAGATGTTGTGCTCCTTTTTGAAGCAGTTGTTGCTGCTGCTAACTATGTGAATGCCAAGTGCTTGCCTTTCGTGTACTCTACAAAAATTGCATTCATTTTTCAATAATTCTGCCTCACTGTGGGCAGCTACTTGGGCTCAATTGGCCATGGACTGTGCAGAAGATTTAGGGATTACACTTCAGATTTGAATTATAATTATCTGTCACACTGGAAAAAATAGCCCTGATGAATTTGCTTTTGTTACTGTTTTTATTGCCATTCTAAATGTTCTATTGCTTTATTAAGGTTACCATTACCACCTGGAGCCTTTTCTGGACTTTGGAAAAATCAAGAAGCATTCAAGCATTTATACTTTGAAAAATTTCCTGTAAGAACTTTAAAGTACTTTCATAAAAGAATCTTTTGTACTTCTCTATAATCCTTTTCTATTAAAAAGTACAGCTGGTTCCCAGGATCGTGGATCAAGAAGCACCTTTTCAGGAACATGTGAACCAGTCACCAACTCTCAGCAATAAAGATGCCCAACTTACAATTATCTAAATAAGCCAGTTTTATGTTTTATCCATCTCTGGATATAGACATTTCTCAATTTCTCTTAGCAGCTTTTCCTAGAATATGATAACCCTTGGTATAAGGGCTGCTTGGGGATCTTTCAGTACTCTTTCTCTCCCTGAATTCCTCAGTAGAGACTAAGAGCAAGTGATCAGAATTTTATGTCAGTAAGATACGTTAGCCTGTTCTACAACAGATTATACAAGCAAAATGTAATTGGCTTTCCCAGATGTTGTTGTTATCTGCTTTTGTTGTCTTTCCTGCTTATACTTTGAATTGTTTAATTAAATTTCAATTTTAAAATGCAAATACAAAATAGGAAGAATGTTCTCATAGTACATTCCCACCCTAGTTCCTTGCGTTACAGTGCCTTCCTGTTTCCCACTATGTCCTATAGTAGTCCATTCCAAGGACGACTTTGTTTTCATAATGGCACTGAATTGATAATACTCATCAGAATCCCCAAATCACCCATCTGCTCTCCTGTTGACTCTTTGTCCCCCCTATCATCTGTGAAGAATTGGAAGAGAGGAGCTGGTAGGCCCTAAAGACAAAGGAGCCATAAAGAGGTAGAAGAGGCTAGTTGCCTGGATTGTTTCACAATATATGTAGGGAAATATTGAACTGTACCTCACAAAGTGTACAAGTTTTCCATGTTAAACCAGCTAAAAGTTTAACTGATTGAAAATGAAACACTAAGATTCCATCATGCATCATGCTGTTAGATAAAAAGGAATGAGTGGTTGCATTTTCATTTGGAAAGTGAGTCTGACTGTTTGACATTCTGTCTTCATTACCTGTAAGTAAAAGACAGATGAGCTAATCAACTAGACAAATGGCGCTATGGTAGCTTTCTCTGGGAAGAGATCTTGGAGTTGAATGACCTTAGTAGCCAAGATTAAACACACTCCTGAGAGGCCAAGGCAAGGAAAATCTGTCAGCACAGCTGACTGCAGTCAACCCAATCTGTCTACCTGATGAGCTACAGCCAACCTATCAGAATACTAATTTGATTGATTACAACCTGACAGTGGAAATTCGTATGTACACATGGTTCTACTGTGACTACCTTGAAAACTCTCCAAACACCAGTAAGTGGGTAAGCTGTATGATGTAAGTCTGTTTTCTGCATTCTAGCCCAACCTTACACTTCCCATCTGAGCACACAACGGTTGGGTAGCTTATCCAAATTTCACATGACTTGGAGGTCTGTCTCTAGTGTTCACACTCCTAACTACTCTAATACTGTAGGACTTGTAGAAAAGCTGCTAATAATTTTTTTTTTAAGGATTCCTTCTTGTATTTGATAACCAGAACTACAATAGAGGGAGACAGAGCAGTCCTCCGGTTCACTCTCTAGAGCATCACAGCAACCAGGTCTAGGCCAGGACTAAACCAGCAGCCAACTTTCTGACCTCCCTCCCATGAGGGTGGCTGAGACCAAAAGAATTGAGCTCTGGCCCACTGCCTTCCCAAGTGTACTAACAGGAAGCCGGAGCAGAAGCGGAATAGCTGAACTTCAAACCTGTATTTGGATATAGAATGCTGGAAGCTCAACCGACAACACCAGCTCCCCAAACGGGCAATGATTAATAGCTCATGATGGGACAGAGTCTGTTCTGTTTTTGTTATGCCAGTTCATGCAGGCCTCACAAAAGTCTTAGAAGGCAGAGTTCATTTTTCAGCCCACATAAGAGCATACGCTCTACTAAGTAATGGAATTTGTATTAGAGTCAATGTACACAAACATAGAGGTCAGGATAACACAAAACATTGGGGAAAATAAAATATAGTTCTTCCTATTTTTATTGTTCTTGATTACTGTGTTTTCTGTGAGAGGAAAAATCTGCTTTTCTGAGTTGAATAAGAACTGAATTTTATACTTACTATTAAATTTTACTAAAGCTTAAATCCAATTCTAGTCCAAGTTAATAAACTAGTGATATATTTAAAATTATTCATAGAAGGTTTTGAAGCTTTTAGATTTAATGCAATTTAAAAAGAATGCTGTCAAGGAATTACTCTAATACCAAATGTTTTAGAATATTGAGCTATTACTTTTTCATTAAAAAAGAAATTGGGTTGATAGACTTTGCAGCTGCAAGTTCAAACACTTATCTTCAACACATATAAGGAAAGTGAACCTTGTTCCTGACTGTAACAGGAACAAGGCAACTGTTACACTTTTGAAATAAAAAATGAATTTCATACCCTAGTTATGAAAGGGCGAAATACCTACAGTGAATTACTTTTTACCTCATTGTATGTTTTACCAAGTTTAAAATGACTGAATTCTTTAATGTTGCCCTTTATTGAATTCAATCTCATTTTCAGGGATACTATGACACCATGGATGCTGGCTACATGGATGAAGAAGGCTATGTGTATGTCATGTCTCGAGTTGATGATGTCATCAATGTTGCAGGTCACAGGATTTCTGCAGGTTCCCTCGAAGAGGTACTGGCACATTGTGGTTTTCAGTATGTCTGGGAACAGAGCTAAACTGGAGGCCATCTTGGTGTTGTATCATTCTACTTGGAAAAGTACCACTTACTTCATTGGCAGCAGGGACTGGATTGCTGCAGTGGGTCTCTCACCTTTCTTTCCTGTAGCTTTTCCTCTTCACCACACCCCTTGGCCCCTGTAGGGAAGTAGTGTGGAGTTTTAGGCATTTGTAATTTTTTTTAATGAAAGAACCTCTTTGGTTTGCTTTGATATCTGTTGCTTGATTGGTTCTGACTTACTGATTGATTTCTGTTTTAAGTATCAGGTGTGCATGTTCTTCTGAAGTGATAAGGCATCTAGACATTTGATTGTACTACATCTCTACACTTTTCATCCAAAGTACATCACACTGATTCCCAAAAGAGGCTTTTTAAGAATCTAATTTCAGAATTTTTCTAGGGTATGTATAGTTTGCTTTCAAGATTGTTGTAACCATGCCACAGGCAGGATATAGGCCAATCCCAGCTTAGCCAGAGAAACCCTCACATTGCCCTCACTGTGTCCTGACATTGGCAACTTTGGATAATCTCGGCAATTTTTGCTAGCTGTGTTTGGTTTACTTGAAGATTCTCTCCATGGAATTACACTTTGTTGTAACCTTTGAGAAAGGATTAGTTCACTTGGATAAGACTTATCCAGGTTGTTGCATACGCATGCTTCTATAGTTCTTCCTTTCATGTTGCTTTGAGTCAGTCTGTGTGTTGATGTACTCCCAAGTGTGTGCTTCCATTCATCTCTTGAAGGACATACAGTTTGTTTTTAATTTGGGATGACTATAAATTCTGTTATACACATTTGGGTACAGTGTGTGTGTGTGTGTGTGAATGAAAGGTTTGCATTTCTCCAGGCTGAAAACCAAGAATGGTTTCATTGATTGTATGGTGAGGATGTGGTTTGTTAGATCCTGCCAAACTGCTGCCAAGAGTGATAATGTGATTTTGTATATGCCCTGTAAGTGTTCTTAACAATTTTGGCCTTTGTAAACTTTAAGAGCTAGTGAAAAAAACAGTTCACTTTTGCATATTGATATGTAGTCTATGATTGTGCTAAAGTTCATTAGTTTTAGGTGAATTTTTAGAAGGTGTATTGATATTATCTGTACAGTCTGTGAATTGGTATTTCATTACTTCCTTCTCAATCTTGATATATTTTAATTATTTTTGTATGTTGGAGCTGGGTGCAAAATATTGCTTTTATATATTTATTTTTTGATTCATGATAATTGACCATGATCTGAACTCCATGTAAATGATTTAGGAACTTTGCTTTTTTGAGTTGTTTGAATCACTTGCAATTTTCCATCCTTTTCTTTTTGTCCCATATGATTCATTATATTTCACATGATTTTCTTGTAGGCTGCAGCTTCATCATGCTTTTATTGTTAGCCTATCTCCATCATTTAACTTAAAATTTCAAACCACTTTCATTAAAAGTTTGATTACCTTCGTTGATACCCTCTATCGATGTCTACCAGTTAACTTTTTTCTTCAACTTCTTTTAATATTACTTTTGGGGAGAGAACAAGCTCCCGTATCCTGGTTCAGTCTTTAAATTCTCCCAGGGGGAGGGCACAGCATGGAAGTTAGGGCTGAGCCAGATGTGGGGAATGCGATGCAGGTCTCTGATGTGCATGGAAGGAAGTGGAGCCATCACTGCTTTCTCTTGGAGTCTTGACGGACAGGAACCAAGCAGGGAACCGAACCCATGCATTTGTGCGTGAGATGTAGGTGTCTGCACTGCTAGGCCAAACACATTCAATCTGTTGTCTTTTTTACCTCTCTTTTTCATTACATTTCTCTTCATGAACAGCTTTAAAACTGTTGATTTTTTTTTTTTTTGGCAAGTTCCTTTTCTATGCTAAGAGTCTCTGGGTTGCAAATCTTCCCAGGAACAGTTGTCTATACTTCTTGGCTATTTCTATTATAGGATTTTTAATAGTTATGCATGCTCATTTTCTTGTGCATGTGACACAGTGATGTTCTGGGTCATAGTCAGATTTCCTAGTAATCAGTATATCATTATTCCTTATCTCTAGGTAATCTGATGAAAGCCATCTTTTCCCACCAACCTGAGTTGCTAAGACTGCATGAACAAGGAAAAGGGAAATTGATTTTTCTCTGTTTTTAAATGGAAAGGAGGTAGCTATTTTATTTTCCACTCCTTCACAGTCTTCTTAGAAGCATTATGGTCTGAATCCAGACTTTGTTGTTTGAAATGTGAATAATGCTCCATAAACAAGACAATCTATGTGTCTCTCCTTTGTAAGCTTGGAATGTTTCCAAATTCTCATTCCTCATCTCATATATAATAAATATAATATTATATATCTCATTATATTATACATTATATACATCTCATTATATATGTGTGTATATATATAGATTATATATATATATATGTATATAACTTTCTAGGATGTTTCTAATTGGCCCTGTATTTTGTGTGGTTAAAGGTATAGTTTGGACTGTAACACTGTGGCATTCCCAAAGAAAGTAAAATGTTTTATTATACTTTTGATCACAGTTATTAATTTTACACATGTCTGTAGATCTAATTATCTTGGTATTTGGACAGTCTTAGTAAGGTAGGGATTTGTTGAGAATTGAGAAAAAGAGGAAGTTTTATTTTCCTAGTGACACAAACTGTTGAACATTTTGGATAGTTCTAATAGTTGCCTTTCCTTGTGCTTGACGTTTATTGACTGGTGTGTGTGTGTGTGTGTGTGTGTGTGTGTGTGTGTGTGTGTGTGTGTACACATGTGCGTGTGCAGGCGAGTGCACGTTTACAGGTGTAGGGATCAGGCTGTTACTTTGGTAGTAAGATGCTTGCACCCCACATTGGAATCCCCTGGATTCAGTTTTCAGCTATGGCTCCTGATTCCAGATACCTCCCAATTTCACTTTGACAGACAGTGGTTTTGGTGTTGCGGGGGGAGGGGGAGGAGGCTGGGGAAGGAAGGGTGGGCACAAGTGTGGTGGTATATTAGGCTAATCTTCTGCCTTCATAGCTGGCATCCCACATGGGCACTAGTTTGTGTTCTGGATGTTCTACTTCCATTGCAGCTCCTTGCTAATGGTCTGGGAAAGCAACAGAGAATGGCTCAAGTCTTGGACCACTTCATCCATGTGGGAGACATGCTTGAAGCTCCTGGCTTCTGGTTGATTGGCTCATAACTGGCAGTTGCAGCCATTTAGGGAGTGAGCCAACAGACAGAAGATCTCTCTGTCCTTCTCTCTGTAAATTTGTCTTTCAAATATAAAGAAATAACTCTTTGGAAAAAATGGTACTGGTTTGAGTAATTTGATTTTTACCCTCATGTTGAAGGCCTGAATTGTATTCCAAGCTCCTGGCTTCGTTCAGGCAAGGCTCAGCCATTCTAGCTTTTGGGGAGTTGGAGAATGAATCAGCAGGTTGGAACTCTCTCTGCAAATAAAATTTAAAAAGAAATACTAATGTCTTCATAGTTTTAAAACACCCCCAAAGCATGATTATTATAGTTTTCATAAAGAGTGAAAAATTAGTGAGACAGGTTAGCATATTTTCTTAACATTACATAACCAAAATGTAAAAAGTAAATTTTCCATTTATGTGCAACAAAAGACCATTCCAAATGATATAAAACAATCATTCATAGTAAAGCAATTATTATACATGTCTCAGAATAATTACACAAATAGCTATAAAATGTGAAGACTGTTACAAATCTTACTGAAAGGCATTGAAAATAAATACTACATGAAAATATGAAGGATAAGGCAATTATCCTTATATTAATTCATAAATTCCTTACATCTCAATAAATTTCATTTTCTAACTTTAGCAAATGGATTTGCACCATTATATTATCTATTTTCCATGAACTTTCTGAAGACCCCTAATTCTACATATAACATCAATCTGTACATCAACTTTGCCCTATATGAGTCATATGATTAACTCTTCTTCCTGGAAAGGCAATTCATAGCCAGTTCATCTTGTTTGTTTACTCAATACTTAGAATCTTCAAGAAAGCTGTGAATTAGCATTAGTTACTATTCACAGTTTCTAAAAAAAATTGCTTAGAAATTTGAGTCCTAGTATGTACCTGGGATTTCTATATTGGCCGTATAATAAGTTCAAGTTGAAGTGACCTAAAAAAACCTTACTGCTTTTCCAGGGTTCTCCATGGAACTCCATGGCTAGTACTAAGTAACATCTTGACTTTTTGAGATAAAACTCTGATGTCTAGTTAGAAGAACACGAATGTTCTCATTATATATCCTTAAAATGCCTATGATTTTTCCAATTTCTCTAAGTACTACTAGAAAAGAATGTGTTATGTAAGACTCAATCAAACCGATATTCTATTAAAATTACTGTATTAAAATATTTTAGGGACCTCTATGTTCTTTTCTGTTCTCATCATAGGAAAATAGGATATATTCATAAATTTAGGAGAATGTTATCCTTGCAAATCTCAGTACAAGTGGGAATTTCTATGACTGTTAAGTAATAAAATCTATTTTAACAGTTGGTTAGACTTTGAAAGCTCAGTCTTCAGCTCATCACTTGGGATATTTTGGTTAGATTTCAAGGAGTTCTAAAGAAAAGGGTCTGAAATAGGCTGTTTCAGGATTTGTGAGTCACAGTTGGTAGTCACCACTATTGTCCTCATTGCTCAGTTTCTTTCTCCATTGTGGGTAGGGTATTTCTTGCCAATGTATCTGGGAGGAACAAATAGGGCTATCTGATGACATCTTTATTGGTAGCTCAAGTTCCATTTTCTGTATTTGGTCTTGTGGCACAGTACATAAAGCTGGTGCCTATGATACCAACATCCCATTGGAGCAGTAGATAATGTGTAGGCTGTTTCACTTTTGACACAACTCCCCAGTAATGCACCAAGGAAAAGGGCAGAAAATGACCCAAACCCTGGGCCTGTCACCTATAAAATAAGAACCGTGGATGGAGTT